TGTCGACAACAAATACGATAAATAACATAACACATAGACTTATTTTTAAATTGTATAATTAGGTTACAAACCTATATATTTATATTACGATCCAATAAAATGTTTACAACTCATAACTTCTACAAATTCCATAACAAACCTAGATCCTTGAGTATTTTTATATACCTATTAAATCATGACATGGTTTATTCGTCTTTATAATTCGTTAGAGTATTTTGCAGACCCCAAATAGTTGGGAGAAAGGCAAAGGAGAAGAAGAAGAAGATAAATTCGTTAGAGTTTAACAGTTTTTAATATAAATCAACCAATAACAATATTGTTTAGTTAATTAATGATAAGTTTTGCGACTGTAAAAAACTTAATTTAAAATTTTTTACTATGACAACATTATGCACTCTTTTATATATTAGTATATAATATATATACAATTCAAATAACACTGGCTGACTGACTTATTATTGTAAAACTAAAATATTTGTACCGATTAGTTTGAAATCTTGAGAGAATATACTTATTACGTCTATGCGTAGTAAGAAAGGATATTTCACAAATCGCAGTGAATATCTGTGTGCAAATATTTCGCAAGTTGTTACCTAGTTCAAATATTTTACTTATATTAATTACATTTTTATTTTTATTTCATGGAGTTATATATATATATATATATATATATATGTCCTAATATTATTTTTTTAACTGACCATAAAATTACTTAACCTTAACTAACCTGACCACAAGGGCTTCTTTTTATGTACTGACCCTGTGGGGGGGGGGGCGAAACTAATTTTTCCTCAATACAAACTTAAAAATAATTTAAAGTTCATTACAGGGGCGTACCTAAGGGGGGGGGGGGGTCGGCTCTGGACCCCCCATTGAAATTTCTACGTACTCAATGGTTTAATAGTGTATTTTAATTTCTCATTATCTTCAAAATACAAAGTTTATAGATTATATAATATACTTATAATGTATAAACCATGTTTATACTGCTTTTTTATTATTATTTATTATTGTTAATTAAATAATGTATTTTTTTATAACACTTTACTACCAAATAAAAATTGATTTAAAATTATAGTACCTACCTATTATAGTAAACCTTTATGAAGAATATGCGTGATGTGAACTATAATTATAATTAGAGAACAGATAAAATAAAAAATAAATAAAAATACAAGTACCTAATTGAATTAAATATTTATTTAATAAGTATATTTAAAACCTACTGCATATAAAATAAGTATAAATAATAACAACATAAATAGTTCTTATATTAAAATCGTACCTTCAGTCTGAATCCTGTATAAAAACAACAACAAACCGTCATAGTAATAATAGTACCTATTAATTATTTTTTTACAAACTATAAAAAATAATTAAAATAGATAACTTAATTTAACAAATATCTAAGTTGAAAACATATGGTTGGTAAGTAGTCAAATAACAAACTCCAAAATTTCTTTTTTTCATTTTGGCTAATTTGTTGATTGTTTCATCAATGGATACAATAATATTTTTATGCACATGCAGCAAAGCCAAACCTGTTAGTTTATGCTGGCCTATTCTTGATCTTAACCATGTTTTCAATTTACAAAAATATATTTTTAGCCAATATTTGCAAGTTATAGAATATGGAAACAAATATTGTCAGTTATTATGATTATTATTTGGGTTAGGGACTTCTAGCTCTATATAATACACAAATATGCATGCATTTGTGCATAAAAAAAATTACTAAATACCTATGCACAACAAAAAGTACCAGATATTATGTTGTAAAAAAAAAAAATAGGCTAATAAAATTATTAAGGACTTACATAGCTCTAATAAATACAAAAATATACAATATGCATAAATGCACTAAAAAATGACTAACTGGTAAATATGTGGTAAAAAAAGTGTCACCTTAAATTACTTTATATCATCTGATAAATACCTCGGTTATGGTTGTAAATATCTATAACCGTAGCAATATCCGTGGAAGATAATACCACTAGGTATTGAATTTATTATCATATTATAATGATGGACTAGTAATTTATATTCCTAATTATTTATAAATTATATTTTTTAAATAAATCAATGTATTATATTCAAAAAAAATACGAGCCATAGGGCGGGGGCGAATGCCCCCTTCGTCCTCCCTCAAATTTGCCCTTGCCTGACAAAAACAATACAACAATCACTATAATAGTATAATTGGAACTTCCAATTTTTTTCTTGTTTAACGAAAACCTACAATAACGAAAAGTTAATTTATCAGTGCAGTATACAATTTTTAAAGAGTAATTTTCACTGATACATATGTATGTCTAAAACGATGGTCGAAAAGTTATCAATACATATTTGATGAAAAACGTTATTTTTCATACGAACCATTGAAAAAAAGTGGAGCTGTGTAAACCATAATGTTCGTGTTCACTTTTTGTCATATGCTTACACCGTATAATACCGAAACAATTGAAATTGATACTAACCTATTGTTAAAAATACGTTTTAAAAACTCACTATAGCGTTGCAAATATCTTACTACGGTAGAATGAAATTAATTAGACGATGAGTTTCGAAAAGACATATGCTCGTTTTTTTTTTTCATTATACCCCTAAAGGAAACGCTAGCGTGTCAATTGATTTTTAAGCCTAATTATTGTTAACACACGTTAAATGAAAATAATTGTACAAACGTGAACGCAATAACCATAATTTATATATTTGAAAAAAAAACTATTAAATAAATAATAATCTATGGACAAGTGGATTGTTCTAATAAGTGGGTAATTAGCAATCAATATTAATTAATTGTTCAATGGATTCTTTATAAGTGTTTTATACTGTATAAATTGATATTGAATAAGACACGTAAATGGTCATCAACTAGTAATCTATTACCAATTAATAATTATTAATACTAGTTAGTAATTTATTGCTTTAATTATATCAAACGACTAAACCTATTTAATCATATATGTCTACAATATGTTATGTAGATTAATCGTATGGCGAGGATCTTTCACTTTTAAATTATAATCGTACAATAAAATATTGTTATGGGTAATTATATTTTTAGCGGAAATCTCAAATAAGCCGTATACGAGTATAAATAGAAAAAAAAATGATTTTTATGTTTTGCAACAAATATATAATCTTACTGGTACACATCATAATAACTGCATATGAGTACCTAATATTACTTCAATGTATCCTACATACACATTACTTAAGAAACACAATTATTATGATGATTTTCTTAGATTTATTAAACGATATCATTTTAGACATTGAGAAAATGTTTTATAAATAAACATATATTAAATGGAAAATTACTGAAATCTTAGGTAACCTTAGAAAAGTATAATAAATAATTTTTGTGTTTAACATTTTTTATGTGAAGAAACGACTTAATAGCAAACATGCTAATACACTTGAATAACATACATTTATATTACATTTTTCAGCAAGCAAGTACGATGAATAGACTTAATTTTTTAATGCCGATTTATTAAAAAGTTTTTTTTATAAATATATAAAAATAATTAAAACTTTAAAATATTTAAACACTAGTAAACAACTAAATATCTTTTTCGATTCTGATACCTCTTTTCCGATGTTATCCTAAACGTGTTACTATATTTACATTAAAGTGTGTAGAAATTATAAGTTTACAATAAAAAACGTGAATTTGAGTTACTCATAAACATACAAACGATGAAAATATGAACAAACTAACTCGTTAACAATATAATTTTTTTTTTATAGAGAATAATGGACAATAAAGTGTATTATCATTTACCATACTCAAATGATTTAATACAAATCAAGTCACAAATGACAAATGTTCACAAAATAATCAGAAAACCTTTTATTTCCACCGTTCTCAATCAATAATAAAACTCCGACATTTTTATAGAGTAAACATATATGATGTAATAGTTTTTTTACTAAAATTTTAAAAACAACTGAAATTAACATTGTGTAAGCTAGAAGTCATTAGTATTTTACAATCGAATGACCACAAATTTGTGGTGAAAATTATAGATAATATTTTCCGACTATGAATATTTATTGCTGTCGATAAGTAACAATAATCGAGATATTTTGAACCATGCACAGTGATTCGCATGAAGTTTGAATTCCATAAATTGATTTCTAAAAACCATGTTTCCCAATGTGAGTTTACAGATAAAACGGTGATGTACTGGTGCATGAGGCGTGGTATAATCCAATATGCAGTAATTTAACTGAACACTGTGTTACTGCAGTGTTGTAAAAAATACTTTTAAAAATGATTTAAAGTACTATTCGAATATTTTAAAAAAACAAAAATAAATAAAAAATACTAAATCTACTGTACATATGATATAACAGTCTATAAGAAATGTGTTTGAGTAGTACACGATGTTTTTTACAAAGCATATTACACTTAAATTATTGAAAAAAGATAACGGTTAAGAGGTACATCTATTTGGTAGTGATGCAAAACGTAAAGTAATAGTACGCAATTCTAACATTGTTCGAACACACTCAGTCGTGAGTAAAACCTAAAGCTACACGGGCCTTATTTTCTGATCATTTCATTACACAATCAACGGTATTAAACAATACGCCATTTTTCTGCAAATCAAATAAAATTAAAAATCATAAGTTTAATGAAGATACGAATTTGAAATGTCGACAGTTTTTTTTTTTTTAAGAACGAATTCAATATACAATGGCAATCTTAAATGTTTTCGAAAACAAGTAGTTAACATTTTAATTTTTTTTACCAAAACATGTACATATAACCGAAGTATGAACATTCGTAGTGCTTCGATCATTTCCATTACGAGGCACATCTCGGGATGTGTCGCGATAGGTATATCATATACATTATATATAATTCGAGACAGACTCTTTCTGAAACAGTTCGTCGATGGTTTGAAACACATCAAATCGATATCGATTATGTTAATTATGTATATGGTCCGACAGCGATAAAAATACGTATCGATTTGTGTTTGCAGATGAGACCGGAAAACGGAGCCGATACAGCCGCGGATAGGTGACGACGACGACGAGATCCCGGAGGCGAACAACAAGCATGGTGATGCATCCGAGTGGCGACTACGGCGGTTACGCGGACTGTTACCAGCAAAACGGCGGCCATCATTTCTACGAGAGCATCAAGAACGAGCTGGAAAGCTTCCGGTTGCGGGGTGCGGACGACGGTTTTTCCGCGGCCGCGGCCGATCTGCTGTTGAACGACGACACGAGCTCGATCGCGTCCAAGAAACGAATAGACAGCATGTTCAGGACCACCGCGTCCGCGGCCGGTGATGAAAAACGGACGGCGAACGGCCGCGCCACCGCAGCCGCCGCCCGCCGGACCAGGTCGTTGGCTGCGGACGGCAATTATGGGTACGCGACGGTGACGGCCGGCGCGGCGGACGCCGACGATGCCGACAACAACAAGAACAACAAAAACACGGTACAGGAGAAGATCGAGAAGATGTTCGCCGAGATCAGTTCCTCGGAGCTGGACACGGACGTGTCCATGGACTCGGCCGTGCCCAGCAACAAGTTCCACGTGCAGTACATAGGGTGCGCCGGGCTGATGGGCAAGATATCGTCGCTGGAGGGGCTCCAGCAACCGGTCCGGGACATGTATTTCGGTTACCGGGAAAACCAGCACCATCGCTACCCGCGAGACGACGACGACTTCGGCGACGGAAAACGACGCGACTTCTCCGGACTCCTAGAGATATCGGCCACCGGGTTGAGCATACGGTACCGGGACGACCGGGGCGACACGGTGCACCGGACCAACCCGTTCCCGACGATCGCCGTGTGGGCGGCCCTGAAGTACGTGTGCCGTAAACGTTCGTCGCACCCGCAGCGCAGGACACCGCAGCCGTCGGCCGTCGCCGGGGGCTACGAGTACGCGTTCCTGCCGCTGATCGCCGACCCAGACGGTTCGGACAAGGCGCCGCTGTTCCGCGATATGGACGCCGGCGACCGGGCGCGGTTGGACGCGGGCGGCGACCACGCGCCCGTGTTCGCCGTGGTCACGCGTAAGTCGGGCAAACGGCTCGAGTGCCACGGATTCGCGTGCGAGACGGAGAACGACGCACTGCTGATGGCGGCCAACCTGTACGGCGCGCTGGTCGCAGCCATGTCGTCGGCCGTGGAGGACGTTGCTACGGCCGTCGGGGACGCGGACGCCGGGGCGGCCGAACAACAGCGAGCCTTGACGTCCACGCGCCGCGTCATCCGGCAGCGGAACGGGTTCACCAGCATGAGCAGTACGGCCGGGTCGAGCGTGTGCGGCGGCGACGTCGCGTCCACCCCGCCGCCGCCACCGCGGCCGCCGCGCAGGAACAAGAAGTCGGTGTCGTCCGCAGCGTCCTCGGTGGCGGGCGACGCGCTGTTGTCCGCGGCCGCCGACGACGTGTGCGGCGACGCCAAAACGTTCCGGATGACCGTCAGACAGTCGCCGTCGCTGCGGCGGGGCGTGTGCAACAGCAGCTCGCCGCCGGTGACGGTGGACGTGTCGAGATCGACGCGCAACGACAGCGGCGGTGACATACTCACCAAAGTGGCCATACCCAGGAGCAAGAGCTTCCTCAACTCCAACGGGTTAGCGTCGGCCAAGTACTTCAGGCGCGCGGCCGGCTTCGGGTTCGAGACGGCCGCGGCGGATAGGCGACGTCGCCGTAGTAACGGCAGCAGCGTAATGGGATTCTCGGACATGTTCAACGAGTTGCGCGTGCAGGAAGGCCTGAACAACATGGACGACATATTGAACGCCATCATAAACGTGGAGGGCATGTCGTATAACGATCTGAAGCCGATCTATCGAGAGTTCTTGATGAAGCTGTCGATGACGCTCACTAAAGACGAGCTGTACCACCGGACCAAGGCGATAATGACGAAACAGAAGCGCAAACGGAACAAGCAACGGCCCACGGTCGTTGCGTCGGTGGCCGGGCGCGGACGTCGGTGGAACGACAAGCTGCGCGTCACGTTAAACCTGCGGGCGGCCAGGTCGCGGATCGGTGCGGTGTTCCTGCCGGACTTTTGCAAACGCGACAAACGCGATCGAACTGCGGCCGAACAACAACGGTCGTGCCCTTGCAACACCTCCGCCGCGATGCACCGCCACTTGTCGTCCGCGACGGAAGTACGACCGGCAAACCGGAAGTCGAAACGGCGTGCGGTCACGAGAAAACGGTCCGTCGCGCCCGCGGTCAAAGGCCGCCGACTCGTCGCGTCCTCCCCGACGTGCAGCACTTCGGATGACAGCGATTTTTTTGCGGCCGCGGCGTTGCGGCAACGACAACAGCTCTTACAGCAACAACAGCAACATCAGCAGCAGCAGTTGAAGCAGTCACCGTACCGGAAGTCCAAGACACGCGGAGACATCAAGTGCGCGAGCGGCTCCGGTCGCAGGCGGACGACCGCCGCGACCGTAGGGGCGCCCGAAGCGAGCGGCTGCCCGCGCCCGGCGTCCAGCGGTTACTTCAGCTGCTCCGAGTGCAGCGCGGGAGCGGTCGAGGACAAGTGTTATTGCGGCGCCGGTGCCGCGGAGCTCGCGTCGCTGGTGTCGTGCAGCTGCGACTCGGACAGCTGCGCGGACAGCGACAAGTGTTACTGCGGCAAGCCGCGGCGGCGTCCGCGCAACATATTCGACGAGCTGAAGAGCCGCGGGTTCGCGGCGTCCGAGTCGAGTGTGTCGCGCGCCGACTCGCCCGGCACCGCGTGGAAGAAGAACGAGCTGCTCATGCTGCTGCAACGGCACGACAGCGGCCCCGGCGGCGGGTCGTCCGCATCTGCGGCCACGGCCGGCGGTGGCACCCGGTGCGGCGTCGAGTCGTCCAAGAGTATCGAGTACCTGCAGGTGGCTCGGCGGCCGGTCGTCGACCAGCACTACTCGAGCGTGGTCAAGCCCCCCGCCGGCGACCGGATGAAGCTGTACGGCGCGTCGCCGTCCAACTCGTCCATCACCGCGGCCGGCTCGTCGTCGTCACCCGCGTCCTCGCTGTCCGCGGCCACGGTGTACTCGTCGTCGTCTGCCGTGGGCGTCGGTCACCTCGCCGGCAGACGGCGCCGGTCCGGTTCCAGCGGTTCCGACAACTTTCGGGCCATCGACTACACGCTGTTCGCCACCAACAGCGGTGCCGTCGGTGCCAAGTCGCGCGCGTCCGGTGCAGGTCACCGCTTGTTGCCGCCGTCCATCGCGTCCGCGAACAAGAGGTCGCTCAGCTCCGAAGCGGTACACCTGTCCGGTTGCCGGGTATACCATCACGGCCAACCGCACCGTCACCAGACCAAATCGGCCGCGGTCAGGCGACATTCCGTGCAACACGCGGCCGACGACGTACTGTCGTCCTTCTTCAAATCGGACATCGAAAACTCGTTGGGTTACTATCCGTGACGCATCGGACCCACCGTCCAGACCCTCCCACGCACAACAGAAGCTCTTTCGGGTAGTGCACTTGTTGATTTCTAAACCATCGTAGGCACTGCCTTCAGATATTATTTTGATTTTTACCGTCGTGAAAATAATGCGTTTCCTTAGACTTCGGATATCTGGTTTTCGCCAACCGTAATGAAAGCTATAAAGCGCACTTGTGATAAGAGACACACGTGTTTCCCTATGGGGATGTTTTGAACACGCAATTTTTTACATATTTTTTCACTGCGACTTTTTGAAGCATCGCTTTTAAATCGTCTACAGCTCACGGCCACACAAATAACACTATTGGAAGTAAGTTACTGTAATAATTGTTTTGATTATTACGTTTTTCTTTGGTATAACCGACTATAGTCGTGTATCAATATTATTGCTAATGACGAAATACAATTAATGAGCAAACAATATAATAAACTAACTACTTTTGGTAACCGTATAAATATGAAGGACCCGGCTACTTGGACTAAACTAGTTTACTACCAGAAAAATTAGAATTAAATTGTTGTCTCGAGAGTTTGGAATGTTGGGATCCAATCCAAAAGCTTTGTTTTATTATAATTGTATTTGTATATTAATTTGTCGTTAATTGGTTTATCTACGAGTAAGATTTTAATCACTTTTATTATTTTTTCTTTAAACTTGATCTAGCGTAATTTTAAGTTAAAAAAAAAAAATTATTTGATTAAATTATATTTACTTTATTACTATTTTGAAGTATTGGAAAACTACATTTCACTATAATAGTATAATGTATTGTTAAGACCATTGTTTTTGTACATGCAACTCCATTCGCATTGTAATCTCGGTATATAATTTAATAGTTGCTAAGGTGATTTATTGTTCGTGTGATACTTACTGAAATATTATTATTATTCGAGTGCAATTTAGTGTAAACATATACTTTTTTTTAATTTATTTTGTCTTAGTTTTGTAAAATATTAAATGATATGTTTTAATAAGTGAGTTTAAAATAAAAGAAAATCGTATAAGTTTTTTACGTCACTACCGTAATTATGTGTTTAACCGAAATAATGATGTATTATATGATAAACTTAGGAAGTATTTAAAACTCTTTACACTATTCGTTTAGTGACTTCTGAAGTTTTAAATCGATACTATGTTTATGAGATCAGATGAAATAACCCGTTATTGTTGCATTAAAGGACACTAGTAAAAGTTAGGTGACAAACTCAAAATATTGAATTTATTATTAATTATATATATACTCGTATATATCACACCCCGGCGACTATAACGATACAAGTCAAAACCGATATTTTGTCAGAAGAGAGATTTTAAAATTTGCTTATAACTTATAATGTAAATAAAAAACTAACCAATCATTCAATAATTTCCGAAATTATACCAACGGTTTTTATTTTATTTTTTTACATTTTATTAATTAAACTACAAATTTAAAAACATAATTATAAAAAAAAATATTTTGAGTTGAATCAGTTTATGTAATTTATTTAAAAAATAAAATATTATAATATCTTACAAGTTGTTGCTTTATAACTACAGAATTCTGAATTATTATGACTATATAATATTACATATTGGTATATTGCCATTCTGGTACACTTAGGCCCTCCGCACACGGTAAAACTGTTTTGCAACGAGAATCTCAAATCAGTTGCGCGAGCAACCGTTTGGCGATTTTGCTTATCTAGCGTAATAGGAAACCGCACACTTGTCGACCAAAACCAAATCGGTTTGTAATCAATTTCCAACTGGTCGCGTGCAACTGTGCTTGCAGGTCGAATTTCGGTTTCAGTTGCGTGGTTGCATGGTAATTAATGATTAATTTATTACTTAAAATGTATTAAAATTATTATTTTATTATTATAATTATTATATAATACCATTTCATATTTTTCTCTATATATGGATGGGTCCAATATTCCCTTCGTACTAATTTTCGTTTTCTACGGTATTGATAGTAGTCAATTATATCATCTTCATCAGAACTACTCGACATATTGCAAAAGTTTAATGTTTAACTATAAAAAAACTTCGAAAAACTTTAAAAAAACGCACGTTTTTTCCGAACATCAATTCGCATACAACTGCGTACACTGGTCGAAATTCGATCGAACTCGTGTGCGGAGTAAATACATAAATTGATTGCAAACTAATTGCACAACAATCGCTCACGCAACTGATTTGAGATTCTCGTTGTAAAACAGTTTTACCGTGTGCGGAGGGCCTTATAGTGAGGTATAAAATTCGTGGTATGGAGGTGGTATCAGATTTTGCCTACAAAGCTTTAACAAGTCATCTTTTTTGGCTTTTGAAATTTCAGATCGAACTTCATACGCTCTTGAAAGAGTTGGTACTATCATATCACGAGAATCAAATCTTACCTAAAATAATAATAACAAAAAAAAAAAAAAATGAATAAATTCTTTAGTTAAATAAATAATATTTTTACTTTTATAGTTTGGTAGTCTGTATTCACAAAGCTCATCCGCACTTTGACTGCAAAAGGTTCACTTTTATCTACTATTATTTTTTTTTATGTTATTCCAATATATTTGTTGTCCATTAATATCTTTATTAAATTTTTTTCCAATATTTTCACTGTTTTTTTGAAATTATAGAAATCTTCCAGTGATAATTCTTTTACGTCGTACGCTTTACCGTGTTGTTTTGCTGTCTTAATATGTGTTACCTATTGTACTGGGATATATATTTGGCGTCTCTGGGTATATAATGTATGCCCCCCTCCAAATAAATAATAATAATATAACACTTATTATTTCGTCCATAATCAAGATTCTTTATTATTAAAATATAACTTATAAATGAAAATCGTTTAATACTTTTTTTAATTAACAAATTATAATATAATAAAAATACAATTTATTTTTAATTTACAAATTGTAACATAATAAAACATACTATTTTTTTTTTTCATTAAGTACATCATTTTTAAAATTAATTTTGATAAAATATTTCGCCGTCCCCGAGACTTGATACCCCCAGGCATGTGCCTACCCGTGTCCTCCCTAATTACGGGCCTAATTGGATCACTTCTCAATTATTTCAAATTGACGAAGTATCTCTTGAGGATGAAATGATCAATATGCGATGCAACGCCTACTTAAAAGCTAGATCGTCAGAAAATACCTTTTGGTACTTGGTCACCAAGGAAGAATTTCTTAATTTAAGAAGATGTGCTGAATCTATATATTCCTGCTTTGGATCGACATATCTATGTGAATCGGCCTTTTCGTATTTACTTCAAACCAAAAGTAAGTACCGATTAGGTTTGACTGATAAACAATCTGAAGATAGCTAGAGATTATCTTTGTAATCATACACCCCAGAATTTGTAAAATTATCAAATCAAATACAAGCGCAAACATCTTATTGAATTATTAAATAAACATAAAAAAAAATTGGCGTACATACGGGGGAGGGGGAGTCCAGGTTCAAACTTCCCCCAGGGCCAAAAAAAAAAAAGAAAATTGTTTTATTATTGATGACGTGTAATATATTCGTAGTTTCATTATTACGCTTTGAACTTAAAATATACAACTATACAAATATTATGATAATTAAATAATTATATTGATAGGTGTTTGAAAACTTTTGTTAACTATGCTGTTTTTATACTCCAATAGCTATTAATTTACTGTAGAAGTAAACTGTAAATTGGTAAAAAAGTTGTATAAAATAATATCTATTTATAGCAGTTATTTATCTTATTTATCTGTGCAACGAAAAAAAAAAATAAAGGATTATTTTTGTTAACCCCCCCCCCCCCAGAGCAAGATTGAATTTACACCACTGATAATAATAGTAGTAATAATAAAAGAATTTATAGTAGTAATAAATTAAATATAATAATTAATCAAATATAAATATATTAAAATACGTGTTATGCTACACTATGAAATTAAACGTTAATAATACTTATTTATATTTTAAATAAAAAGTAATAAAAGAAGTCTAGTTACAAATAAAACATTTTTGATTTATTTATTTATATACAAGCTTTTTTTTTTTTGGTTGATCGCGAAAACCTAGAAAAACTCAGAGATCGACCACAAGCCTATTAAAGTTGGCCACCCCTGTAGGTATTAGAAGACCTATAATATTAAAACTATATCTGTAATTTAAAGATCGGTTACTATCTTGTTTAGGATTAATTTCGGTGAAATGCCGACTTCTAAATTCCCGTTATCTTGATAAGTTTCCTAACTTCCAATATTCCGTAAAAATTAAATTTCTTTTGTCTTCGGATATTTTTTTTTTTGTACATTTAGATCATAGGTTCTCAAACTTATTTCATTCACCGTCCACTTTGAGAAACAACAATTTTCTTATGTTCCTCAAAATATTTTAACTCACCATCGATTATGCTTTTGAAAAATAAATATTGCAATTACAATATATAAATATGCCAATAATTTTCAATGCGTTTTTTGGATGATAGCAATAAAAAGACGTACTCATTCATGTTTAAAAGTATTTTTATTAAAACGAAACATTAATTATGAATATTATTAAAAGTATTACCTATAGGTCATACCTATGAATTAACAATATTATACAGATCCAAATTCAAAGGTTCAGATTTGTTTTGCTTTTATTAGTGCACCAAATATCAGAATATCACAAATATTTTGAAAGATAATTTTTAGAGCACTTAATTTCGTATTAAGAGACAATAACCATTTCTTCTTCCAGACTGTTCGTAAAAAATAATAAAACTACCAGTGACAGTTTTCAAAATGGCAACTTTGTATTTATTTATAGCTTCCTTATCCCACTCGGTCTTATAAATAATGAAAAATTCAGTTTAACAAAAGAGCAAAATATAAAATTAAATGAAGAACACAAATGAAAATTGTTAGGAACTCGTTATGAACTGTTATGAACTCGATAACAACAAATTAAAAAATTAATAGCACACGACAAAAGGTTAAAAAATGTATAAAGATGATACTTAAATGACGAACGACAATCTCACACATTAGCTGTGGAAATACGACTGACTGACCTCTATGTTTGCCATGAGACGTGTGTTGAGTCGCATAAAATTGTGTATCAGCATTTCTTACTGTTGCGACGCGATGACAACACACAATCATGATGCTCTGTTTTCGAACAACGTTATTACAAATATTCAGAAGTTCATAACACTTATTTCATTAGAGAAAATGTAGTTTAGAAAAATATATTGTTTTTTTTTTTTTTTAAAAAATAACAAGTTGACTGTATAATTAATGAATTATAAAAGATTCTATCATAATATTTTGGTTATTTACAATTCTCTTTCAATATTTTCAATAATTTTGGATAATAATAAATAATAAAACAAATTTCTAATTGAATTTTAAAAAATTGTAAAAAAAAACTAGTCTATTTTATGTAATTACTTAATTTTAACTAAATTTTATCTATGTAACTTTGTGAACAATTTATCTTTTGTATTATTACATTTTACTTTAGATTATATTAATATTTAATTTTATTAATATATTCATAGGCATAACTTGGAAATTTATTAGAGTGTGGGGGGGGGCGGCAAAAATATAATTACATATCTAACGAAAAAGGTGTTCGTGGCTAAACACTGCTTTACCTAAATATTATTATATAAAATTATGTTAGATAAGGGAAAATTTAAAATTAAGATTTAAAAAAAAATAAATAAAAATATTATAGCAGGTAATAGCTATAACCAGCTGTTTTATGCATATTTTAAAACAACGTATGTTAAATATCAGAAGGGGCACTGCCTCTCCTAATTTATTCTAAGGGGGCAATTGCCTCCTCTTGTCCCCCCAGTTTATGCCTATGGATATATTGATATTATTAGAAATATTGAATATTTTGTAACTATAATTAATAAGTACAACTTATAAAAAGATAATGTTCTTGGATAGCAATTCTCAGCCTATCAGCTAATACATAAATCAATTTTTGATTTTTACATAATTTTATATTTTTCAAATATTGAAAATGTATCTTAATAACAATTAAATCTATAAAATTAAAATTATTAACAAATAATATTGATATTAATTTAAATACGCCTCATCCATCTTTTTAAATTTGTCTATTAATTCTTCTGGTACATTTAGATCATGGAAATTGTCAGTTCCTATTTCATCTTCAGTTCTGAAAATAAACATAATATTTTACAAATTAATGATTATTTTTAAAATTCTATTCATAAATGTACTAATTTAACATTTTATTTGTTTAGTTTAAACTTTAAAACTAATCTGCTAATTATATTAGTACTTAAGCATAAGGTTTGTTTGATATTAATATTTTTTAAGTCTTTAAAAGAAAAAACTTTAAAGTGTAATAAGTTAACTTCTTAGTTACATTTTTACCTAAATCAATTGCAATAGATATTTATATTATAGTCAATTCAATAATTTAAAACAATAAATTTCACTAAGACCTGGAAATTCATACAATAACACATTTCTGCATATTTTTTTTAAATTTAATTATATATCTCATATTTTAAGAACTTTTAAACCGGGTTTACATGGCATGAATCTGATGCGCAAGGCAAGATTCGCGAGGGTGCTTCGCGAGACATCTGATTCACCTCTAAATATTTACATGATATGTAACTATGCGCGAAGCAATGTGACTCAGGGCGAGCCACAGTTTATGTGAGGCAACGACTGTGGCAATATGTGTGAAATGAATACATTTATTTTGATCCATGGCGCTACATGCGAGGCAAAACACTCAAAGTAGTTCACATGACACAAAAAAAATGTGTGAATCTTCTTTGATGTGCGTCCAAATACTGACTAAGCTTCCTCTCGCTACGAGGCATCCTCGCTTAGTTCACTTATTAATCGAGACAAGTTCAGATACGGCGAAATATGTCAAATCTTGATTTGTGCATCAGATTTGCGTCGTGTAAACCCAGCTTTACAGCAAATTTATCTAAAACTATTTTTTTTTTAAGTGATTGTCAAAATCTTTATAATTTTAAAAATTTCTAATTTTTTTTCAATAGATTAATTTAATCACACTATTTTAAAATTGTTTATTTTAATTATAATTCAATTTTTATTTAATGTATTTTTTTAACATAAAAATATTAGAAATTAATATTTTGATATTAAAAGTCTAAATGTATGCACATATTTAATAATGTTAGTACATTAAGCCCTGAGTCTTGTTTATTACATCAGTTTCTAGTCAGTTACACAAATTATTGTAGAACTCCACAATAACTTAAAGCCATGTATATTGCTAACTTACATGTTATTTTAATTATTTTTAATTAATCCTAACCTAACCAATCATTATTTAATCAATATAACAAAACTATTTGGTTTAATAGGTTAGTAATATTTTTATTTATTACATCAATATAGATATTTAGAAAAATAAATGTTATTAGATAGAGAGTCAACATTTTATTTAGAATAATGTGCAATCATAAAAGTTTAAATTAATATGCTGGTTGCTGCTAACAGGATTCGAACTTGATTGACATTCTTATATCTAGACTTAAATTTAATGATATATAATTTATTCATAAATTATTAAACAACAAAATAAACTTTCCTAAAATATTTAATATGATAAGCTGGTATATTCTTAGTTTTAATGATTCTTTAAGTCATATGTTAGGAAAATGTAACAGTGTTTCTTTTGACTTTAATTATGATAGCAAATTTAAACTTTGTTGTTTTATCTTGATTTTGAATTAATAACTGCCATATAGGTACTATTTAATTTTAACATTAATAATTAACTGTTCTTAATATTTTACATTTACTGTTATTATTTCGATCTTATTTTTTTAACATTATGTACTCTATGCTCTAACAGGCATTAATTATATATATAATAAATAAATTATAATTAATAAGTTATAATTTTAGATCAGTGATTTATTAATCTTCATTAGAGAACATATGCTTACTTTATTAAAATGTCTACTAGATTTTCACATGCAAGTTTTACTTCCATGTTAGGTTCCCATTTATGTAATTCCCTCAAAATAAGATAAGTCCCTTGGTCTCTGATTATTTCTCGACAATTTCTTTTGGCACTTAACTTTAAAAAAATATAAAAACTGTTAAAGAATTTTAAAAATAAATTATAATAAATAAAAATTCACTTGAGTCAAAGCTTGGATAAGAGCCAGTCGCAAATTTGGATCTGATTCTCGTTCTTTATCATCAGATAAATATTGTAAGTCTATTGGCAGTTTTTCATTATCCTCATCATCAAATTGTTCTGGGCCAGCTAACGGAAGAAGAAGACGAGGTAACAAATCAAGATCTTCACTTAATAACCATTCATGCTTTTCTAGATATCAACAAATTAAGTTAATTTAATTGATATGATACACAAAATATGAAATACAAAAAACAACCATTAAGATGTTACCTAATTCAAAACAACAATTTTTTACAAGCATAATGACTCCAGCTTTTCGAATTGAATTTTTATGATTTAAAAATGGAAGTAATTTTTGTAAATTATCATTATCCAATAACCACCTGAAAATAAATGAACCACACTAATCATAATACGAAAAACATTTATTTAACATTAGTTACTCACATTCTTACTTCATGTAACTGACATAAATTAGACAATAAATATGAAACATAGTCATAATTAGTTTCATGCTTTATGTCTCGTGTGATGAACAACTTTATTAGCGATTTCAATGTTGTAGTTTGATCTATAAACGCTTCATATAATTTATTAGCATGATTTTTTTCACGAGTCAAATTACACAACAACATTAAAACAGCTTTAGCAATCTCTGGTGTAGTTTCATCAACATACCGTAATATTTTTGCTACTACTCCCTAGCAATATAATAAAATAAACACTTTCGTAATGTATTTTTTTGAGTAAAAACCTACCGAGCCATTTGTACTGATGTTATTGCTTATGTACGACATAATTTTATTAGGACCATTTTCTTTTGCTGAAAGGTTGACTAAACACAAACAGGCCATTTCAGCATGACTGCTTTCGGTTTCTAAGACTTTAAATAATCCTTTGAGCAAATCATCGAAATTGTCAATGATTATTTTGTTTTCTTCAAACTTGTCAGCTGTCAGCACTACAAAAGAAAAACAATACAGTTTTCACTGAAACATAAGATACGAAAACACATACCCAGTAAATTCTGTAAAACGTCTTTTTTAAATTCCGGGTCGCAGCCGTCCAACGCTAACGAACGGACCATAACAAGTAGCAAATGATCTGGTAGTTGCGGACCCATAATTTATATCGGTAGTCGTGTACCAACACGGTAAATCGATTTCAATACGACTATTAAGACACTACTGTGAACAGCAAAGGAAACTCAATTTGACGGGAATACCAACGGAGAGTAGCGGACGAAAAACTGTGTTTTTGAAAAGGATAAAATAAAAAGTTGAAAAACAATACGAATTACAATAACAATAATATTGCAGGCCGAGGACAGTCGATAGGTTTGATACCGCGGCCGGATCGTGATAGCTACACGTGCTCGTTATCAGCGCTCACGAACTCGTTTCCACGGACTCGGCGGCAAAACAGAAGATCTTCTCCCATGAAACGTATACAATTTGTTTATCTTTTTTTCTATCACTTATCAGACGAACCGATAACTGCTATCGATCGTTTGGTTTTTTTTTTTTAGTGATACCTATTTCATTCAAAGTTCAAATCATCGGACGCGGTAGACCGCATTGTACCAGTGTTGCTGATCACTCTCGACCAGCTCATCGTTTAGCAAGGCTGTTCGCGGTTTCCAAGATGGAAAATATGTTCAGTACGTCCGGAGAGAAAGAGACTGACGAAGTGAGTTTGAACAAATTTAGTTTGCGGTAGTTTTTATGTAATAATAATTTTTCATCAGACGTTTACGAGTTGTTCGATGGCAAGAGATTGGAATATCTCTTTCGGTTACGGTTTCTAAAGCGGTGGGAAGGAGGGGTTGATGGGGAAAGAAAATTTTTATTAATATTTTTTTACGTACGGATGAAAAAAAAACCGTTTTCAATCAAGTAACCGAAATTATCGAAATGTTTCTCAACACGGTACGTGCTACTCGCAATTTTCCATTTATGGTTAACCATCCGTTACAGACTTGTGAACAACGGATGTATTCGGTACCTCGATTAAACCATCCGAAATCGAAATAATATCTCGGCGCGTACCTAGATGTTCTAAGGGTCTACCGGGTCGTAGATACGACAACAAGTTTGCCGTTGGTAAATCTATTTTACCGTATCGTAAAATGATTTTTAACGTAATTTTTATCTATTTCATAAATATTTGTACCAAAACATATAAAAAAAATTTTTATCTAAAAATGATTTATGTCGGTGATGTAGAATAGAGTAATATATTACACTGTCAACACGTATTTCCAATTATTATACTGAATATCAATATATTTTTTATTCTGCCTGCATACTTTACCTAAACGTTAAAACAAAAAATAATCCCCTACTGGTTGTACTTAAAAGTAGTGTAATTCATATTCCGTATTCAGTTCTTGGAGTATTTCACTACATTTTAAACAACGTTTACTTATTTGGTTTTCATCGATTACAGTTTGTAGGAAATACAATTATCTGCGAGGTATAGTGTTATAGGACGTTTACCTTGTAAAATAGTTGGCAGTTACATAACGTTTTACAATATACGAGACTTCTCCAAACAATAAACACGGAGATAGTTGTAAATATAATATTTTGACGCATTGTTCCAATACGAATTGGGTAATGGATAATATTTAAATATTGAATTTTATGTGTTTTGTTTTTCTTTTGTTTTGTTTTTGTTTTTCTAGAAATCGACTTTTCGCTTTGGAATATTTTGTATCTACTTGTTTATTGAATAATACGATAGAAGTTAATGAATTCACTGCGTTTTATTGATTAAATACATAATGCGGATGTCTTATTGGCGACTAGCCAACTTAACACAAAAGGTTAAAAACAAATGTTCATGTGTATAAGAATTGCAAAATATTGGTCATTAGCGATATAATTTAGACCAAATATCGATGTATTGAAAAAAAAATGTAATCAAACTAAATACTCAAAAAAAAAGTGTTGGATATTGTTACTTCGATAATACAAAATCACAACTAAATTTTCTAATTCAAACATTTTAAATCGTTTCTATATAATATAATTATACATGTATCACAATACATTATATTTAAATTATAAAAGTAAAAACCAAATGTATAAGAAAAGTGTTTACATAATTATTAAGATCAGTATTCAGTATACACCAATATAATTTCAACAGTTCCACGCATTGTCAATACATATTTACAAAATATTTGTAGTTTATCTTCTATTGAATTGTGAAAAAGTAGTTTACTTAATCGTTATTCTAAAAGTATCTTTCTTCATTTAAACTGAGTGAGATTTGATTTTGAAAACAACCTTTTTAATGGAACAGACGTAGCCATAATTAATAAATACTTTCTTAATAATAAGTGTAAATCTAGTTACAGCTAGGTAGTAAAATTAAATCTAGTTCATGTCATATCTACCCAAAAATCTTATTTAATCTTGATTGATTTTTTTAAAAAATTTTACTAGTTTTTGTGGTGTTCCCATAAGTCGTAATCATCTGGATGCTCCTCATGGACACTAGAGTCAGATAAACATAATTTTTGCATGGAAGTTGTTTGTTTTTTAGTTCTAAAATCTCTTTTTGGCAAGTTACTAAATCTTTAAAATTTACGTTTTTAAATCTAGCGTCTAAAAGTGTAGTAATATAAAAACATATTGTAATATTCTATTTTTGTCGAATATTGATTACAAGTTACAATACTGTAGACTGATCGTCATTCCCTATAATAGCTGCTGTACCAGTATCAAAATATAAATTAATAGAATAACTGAAAATCAGATACTCCAATTTCCAATTTATTGCACTAATATGTCGAAGGCATCAATATATCGATGACTAAATATTTTGTAATTTTACAAATATGCAAACATAATTGAGGCGTTGACATGGAAAAGGTACTAAGTCATAAAAATCAAATTTTACAGGGGAAGGAAAAAACTGTTTTTAGTATTTTTTGAACCTTCTTTTCTAATTTCATTTCTAATTGAACTGTGATAAATCATATTAGATGATAGTTAATAACAATGTTCATATCAAAGAAAACAATATTATACATTGATAAACACGTGAGATGATTTAGTACCTTTTCCAAGCCAAACCACAATGACTCACGACTAGCGTCATCTTGTATTCAACGTAATTCCTAATATATAAAGAAATTTGAGTTAGTTACCATGCCATTGACATATTTATTTAATCCATTTTCAACGAAAAAACCAAAAATTGATTTTTTTCAACTTAGTACCTTTTCCATGTCAACGCCTCAATCGTTGTTAAGTAATCACAACAAGAGTATTCAAATAATAATTATACTTTTTAAATAAAACTATTTTTGATTATAAAACACTTGTGTAAACAAGATTTTGAATTACATGAGTACATTTATTAATTGTATATTTAATCATATATTAATTACATTTATGTATAAATATCGAAGTTGAAACGTATAATACAATATATTATAAACCAGAGCATATTTTAACATACAAAGTACGTGGCACTAGTGCCTCCCAGTGATAATTGAATTCTATCCAGTAGTGGGTGATCGTGCCACTAATCTACACATTCTCATAACGACCGTAGTGACAGGAGTTGATTTTCCCTGTATGTTCCTCTGTAGAAAAACACCACTTCTTTGAACTACGATGGTAGACAATTTTATTAAAGTGCAACCTAGTGAAAATTACTTAAAATATGTTTTGGTATAAACACATAATTATATACGTTTTATACCTATCCTATACAAATTAAATCCCTTATTAACAAAAATACATTTATAATTTAAAATAACAATAAAAAAAATAAAGTGTTAATTATATATAGACAATTGTGGTGCTAATAATATATTATTAATAATTATCATTGTCTTATCGCAGACATATCCATGGTAAATTAATTGTACTTGTGATATTTATAATTTTTATATTATTAGATTATACCTAGAAAATAAAAGTATTTCATAGTTAATGTTAATATTTTAGTTATTATAAGAAATAGAAGAATTCTTTTATTTCATATGTATGCAAATATTCGATATTATTAACTTGGCAACATTTAAATTTTATTTTATAATATGAATATAATTATATATTATATTCTGTGTTTGTAGCAATATTTTGTTATTTTCTATTTAGATAGAATTTCCTTTTTTCGACCAGATACCTATCTGATTGAAAAAAGGAAATTGAAAATTAAAAGATTTTTTTATAATTTATATAATATATAATTTTTACTACTTACCTAATATCTGAAATAGGAAATATTTTTAATTTTGCTTGACTGAATGTCAAAAACTGAAGATATTATGTAAAATTTTTAATCATTTAATACGATTTATATGTTCTATACATAGTGTATTATACGTTTTATACGCATATATTCCTAACCCTGATAAATATTAAATTATATGAACGTTTCATTATTTACACGTTCAGATAAGTATGTTTAGTTTTATAAATTATATTAATTATACTAAACCAAATGAGTGGAAGAAATTAAAATAAGGAATTTATAATAAATTATAATATATAAGTTCATGTGCAAACTCGTATATAATAAAATACGTTAAAAAGAGCTTACTATGAATAATTAATTATAATAAAAGACGTACAGGTATAGTACTGTTTTTTGGGTAATTTAACTGCTTTACCGCGGCTTAAAAATAGCCGTTCGGTTCCAAAATATATAACGTCTTTACGTGGTTATTTATCGTAGAATAAAATGAATAAACTAGGTATTTGTTTATTGACAAATCGTGATAACAACAGAAGGTATATCATAATAAAATAATATATTTAATTGTGTTAACGTATATATTTTTAATTTAGTTTTTTTTTTAATTGGTAGAAAAAATAGTTTTATAGATAATTTTTTTGAAATTAATTAAATTAATTAAACCGAGATATACCATATATTATGTAATATGTAATCGATTTGTGGGAATAGGAACGAACTTTTCGATTATAATCATTGTATTAATATGCATTAATTAAGAATATATACTATTATTTTTCTTAATGGAAAAATTAATTTGTGTGATTAACATAAATTTAAAAAAAATTTATTTGATTATTTTATTTATTTATAAAATTTTAAGCTTGTAAATAGAGGGGTCTAGCTTAAACCTCATGGTTACATCTCATGCTTATTGAATACACATTGGTATATATGTAGAGGTAGATATAGGTTTTTGTAATTATTAATTAGTATTCCAATTATATTCTTCGAGATTTATGTTCTTTAAAGTTCATCACTATTATTAATAATTATTGTGAAACCTAAATTATGTATCAGATATAATTTATTATCCAAAACCTATATGATATGTGTAATAAATCTTAATTCATAACGTTATATAACACTAAACAAATTTATTAATTATTGTGATCTAAGTTCATATTTTAATCATCTCCCTTGTTATATAGTTAATGTTATTAGTTTATTATATAAGTATTTGGAAGAAATTATTATTTCAATATTCATGTTTTCAAACCGTGTTTTATATTATAAAAATCTGATGATATACTGATGGGTTCTTCGTGTAATTCCTTTGTTGTGTTTGTTTTATTTATTTTTATAAAAAAATACTACATGAAGATCGATAAAATATACTATATTTTATGATTGTTGGATATTAATAATTATTAGTTACCCTAGGTCTCGGATGTTTATGTGCTTAAAATTACTATATTATGTTTGTATTTATACACTAAAAAATTACCAATTATACAGTTAAAATATACATTTTATGCTTTAAAAATGATAAAAATGTGAATAAATAAATTTTTTTTTACTTATAAGTTTCAAAAATTTCAAAAATTAATAAAAAAGAAGTATTAAAACAATAAATTACACATTAAAAAATATTTTATTTAATTTTTATATTAGATACAATGTATTTTTTTTAAATGTTATCAAATTTATAACTACATTATTTCCTAAAAGTATTTAATTGTAGCGTGAAAATTTTTTTATATATCATCAAATGTTATTAGTGAATACTTGAAAAATGCGAGATAAAAGTGTAAAATTAATTTCATACTAACTTATAATTGTTTATAAAAAATTTCGAAAATATATTGAAGTATATATTAATATTTTTAAAATTCCAAAATATGCATTTAAAATAAAAACAATATATGCAAAAATATAAAAAATTAAAAATATTATTATTTCATTCACTTTAACTTCAAGCAACCAACTAGATAAAAAGAAAAATATGCAAATTTTTAAACATAACTTATAAGCTCTAATAATTAATATTCAAATATAAAATATAAAGCTTAAATTATCTAAACATTTTTATAAAAAAGTTTAACTGAAATATTGAAATTCAATACATATTCGATATTCATAAAAATCAAAGTAAAAATTATCGATTTAGTACTGTTTTAAAATCGAAAACTTTTTAAAATTAACAATATTAAAATTAATAAGATTTCCATCGCTGTATCAAAAGTCTTTAGTTAGGTACCTTTAATTTTAAACAAATGTTTCGAATAGACTTATAACTACTCGTTCAGAAATAAAAGCTTTCAATGGATCAAATTTAACATCATTTTGTAGTTTGTTTTCAGTTTTTTTCCATATTAGAAAAACTCTTTAGTAAATTAAAAAATGATTTCAATGCAAAAAACCAATTGTGTTCAATTTTCAATTCAAAAAGTTACTCTATAAAACAGATTTAATAAAAAAAAAAAAATTATTCGTTTTTTTTTAATTAAGTTTATTAATTGGTTACGTATTTGTGCGTGTACATATAATTGTATATATTTTTTCTACAGCAATGATTTAGTTTTGGTAATACATTTTAAAAAAATGTTTGATATAGAATATTACTTAAATATAAATTTGCTGAGGATTTGGTTCAAATTATAAGTTATGCTAATATTTGACGCTCGACTTCATTTTGATTTTATTGGTGATATTTTGCTATTATAATGTGCTAGATAATGCCACAAGTTTGATGGAAAAAATGATTCTGCACAATTATCATATTATAAGTGAATATATTTTTCTTACATTCATCTAGAAACCATTATACCTATAATCTATATTCTATTATATTCATAGGCGTGCACAGACCTATATTTCAGGGGATGCCCACAATATTTTCGGGCCTTATATTAACGTATAGGTATATTTAATAAATTATAATGTATAAATAATTAAATAAACATAACTTTAATTTTTAGTGCCAATGAATACATTTTCTTTGAGCATCATATATTTTCTTTGATTATTTATGATTTGTACTGTTGCAGTCAATCGTAGCTGTTATATTATTATAATACATTTTTACACGAAAATTTAGTTATGTTTTTACTGTCAATTTTTGATACAGTTCCATAATTTGTTCTCGACTTTATTTGTGATAAACGTTAAATCAAGCTATGTTCAACAAACGGTTTTAGATTATAATGCAATAAATTAAATGGTTTACCGAACATTTTACTAGAATAACGTTAAAATTATTTATGTTTTTTGAAATATTCGCCAAAAAAAACGTAAAAGTTCTTGAATGATAGACCTAATAAACGTTGTTAAATTATTCGTTCTTGTAAATTTAATTAAAAGAACATTTTTAGACATTACGCTCTTGAACAATTAATCAAAAGAATTTATTGAAATAATACGTTCTTTTACATTTAATTAGAAGAACGTTTTGAAATAATACGTTCTTGAACATTTAATCAGAAGAACGTTATAGAGTCATAATATAACATATTATGTTCTCGAATGCTTTAAAGTTATACGTTCTTGAATAACGTTTCTATTTCTCGAACGTTCTGAAAACGAACACAATTTTGAAGATGACCAAGTCCACATAGACGAAGAAAACTGTAACAATATTTCTGAATGTTCTGATGAAGATAATAATATAATAAATGAACAAGAAAATGAAAATATTTAAGAAAAATTGCCTTTAATCTTCAACGAATTGGGTGCAGCAGTCAATACATCGGAGGCATTGAGGAGTATGCGATGTGCTACTCATAATTTACAACTTTCAATTCTAAATGTATTTAAAATAGAAAGTATAAAATCAACTATAAACAAATCACGGATATTGGTGAAGATGTTGAGATTACCAAAAAACTCGGAAGCTCTCAAGAATATGGATTTAAAACGGCCTGTAATCGATTATGTAACTCGATTTAACTCTATTTCTTAGTGTAACTTTATTTATTTATTATTATTATTAATTTTTTTTTTTTTTATTCGAGCTTTTAGTAGATAATTATTAATTAATGTATTATATTATTATATTGTTACCTACTCATAATAACTTATTACCTATATTATCATCATAATATTATATCATCTTATACTGTCAAAAATAAATTATCGGCTATTGGATTTATTTTGGCTGAAGCTTCTTTAGTTCTTTTAAAGTCACATTGTGCTATTGGGGTTTATTTTTAATCCTTATCTTAGTTATTCGTAAATATAGGACTAGATGTAATTCAAGTTTTATATTTTGATATTAAAGTACTAATTATTCATAAATAGTTTTAAATTCAAAACAGCCAAAAGATAATATTGATTCATAACGTTATTTTCAAAGTTCGAAGAACGGTTTAGTTTGTGTTATTCTATGTGTTAAAAGTTTGAAAAACGTATTAGCTTATTACGTTTGTTGTGTAATTGTTCAAAGAACTTAATAGGTTGTGATGCTCCTTATGTCAATTTTTTATAAAATTTTTAAGATTATAACGTTTTTCGTGAACTTAATAGTTATATTAAACTTAATAGTTTATATTTTTATTTCATATGAAGGACCAATAAACTAAATTAAATAATTTGTTTCTTTCAATTATATTTTGGTTTATGAACAACAATAATGTTCTTTAACCGTTTTTTTACGTTCCGTTCGGAAACCCTGTTTAGAATACTATAATATTACAATCAGTATAATAAATATTATCACCAATAAATAATTACAAAAGTGATAATATTAGTATTATTGATATTTGCAACGAGTTCAATATAATAAGAACAATTTACCTAAACAAAAAAGAAAACAAATAATTTTGGAGGGCTAATATTCGCATCGAGAAAACCAAGCCTCACCAACCCTCCCCTAGGTAATATGTGCTTTATTTATTTTATATATTAGGTATAAGAAGCATTGAAATATAAGTGTTCTAGGATTTATAATTTTCGCCATAAAGATAATTGTAAATGAAAAACGTGTTTAAAAATAAATATATTTGTACATTTAATTAATGAGTCATTAGTTTTTATAAAATTTACAATTACAATATCAAATTGATAAAAAAAATGTACACAAAAAATAAAAATAATATCTTTTGATGTTACATTTTTTTTTCTGCTTATATATTATACAATTTATTTTATTTATTCAGAACTATAGAATACATTTTAATGATATTGTTTATTAATATAATTGAAGCTGTTATTATTAATAAAAAAACCAAGAAATAATTAAATTCTAATATTTTATATCAAAAATTATTTTTTCAGAAACTTTTGCAGCCTTTTACTTATATCATGCAAGTGCCTGGCAAACAAATTAGGGCTAAACTTGCCCATGCATTTAATTATTGGCTGAAAATACCATCCGACAAATTGGCTGTTATTGGAGACATAGTTCAAATGTTACATAATTCTAGTCTCTTGTAAGTATAAATTGTGCAATTTATGAAATTTATTTAAATTATTAATATTTAATTTTTTATTAAAAAAAAAAAAATTAAATTTTTTTATGATTCTATTTTCTTTTATACAATATTTCAGTTTCATTAGTTTAATCCTTAAGAATAACATTGATTACGTATTATTTTATGTAGTAACATTTATTCTTAATTATGTTTTATCATTATTGATGTTACACAAAAAATTTTAGTATTAAAAGGTCTTTATTCCTGTATCTTAGTTGATTACATTTTCTGCATTTTGGGTTGTATTCTTTTCGGTCTACTCGTTTTTCAGGGTATTGTAGGCTATGGTTGCATATCTTAATGATAGTTATCTATTTTAATAAATTTTAATACATATTATTAAATATAATTTATTTTAATATTATACTACTAGTAGATAGGTTTTCTGATTTTACTAGTATATAATAAAAATTGTGTAAAACTTTTTTTATCACTACACAATTAATGTTAAAATATTTAAACAAGAAATTAATCATGCCATTTGAAACAGATGTACCTATCTTATGTAACTATTAATTATGAAGCAAAATTACCGTAATAGGTTTTAAATAATACATTTTAATTAAGTAATTAAATACTATGTATAGATTAAATATTTATCTTTATATTTTACAACATTACCTATCAAATGTATTTATTGTACTTAGATTTCAGATAAAATAATATAATATAAATTATAATTAAAATAAAAATAAAAATAAAAATTTGATTTTAAATTGTAAACACATATTTATGTTATTTAAAATGTTCATTGATATTTTAAATGTTCATTAATAATTTTCATAAAGTGTAATCAATTCATAAAAGCTCTATATCAAACAATTTGATTATACATTAGTTGACTAAAGTTTTCATGTTATAGTTTCATGTTTTGTTTGTATCTAAAGAAATTTGGTTATGAATTTATTTTTATTGGCATCTCTTTATTATTTAGAGTTAATAGAAAATGAAATAGGTATTAGAATTATTCCATAATTATTATACAAATTATTGCACTATAGTTTTAATCTTCCATGAATTATATTTTAGAACTGATGATATCCAGGACAATTCAGTATTAAGACGAGGAATACCTGTTGCACATTCAATCTACGGTGTTGCTAGTACAATTAATGCTGCAAACTATATGTCGTTTGTTGCATTAGAACGAACTCTAAGCTTAGGACATCCAATGGTATACATCAATCTTTGTTTTATTTTTAAAAAATATAATTATAAGCATGAAATAATGAAATTAATTTATTAAATATACTTTAAGGCCACCACTGTATACACTGAACAAGTGTTAGAACTTCACCGTGGCCAGGGAATGGAAATTTATTGGCGTGATAATTATACTTGTCCCACTGAAGAAGAATACAAAAAAATGACCATCAGAAGTAATTAAAGTTATATATATACTTTATATAGCAATCGAATACAGTAATTTAATGTGCCTATTATTAGTAGGATATAGTCATTTAGGTATAATATATTTTTAACCTAATCAATTGAGAAAAATCAGACATGTAGATTTTAAAAACATTGTGATTTTCCATAAAGATTGTTATTTGAGGTTGATTTTCTTAGACTTTCAATATTATTCCTTTAAAATAAATTGTTAATCTTTAAATATCAAATATAATATTTCAATATTAGATTAATTATTATATAGATTTGTTTATGATAGCAATTTTATTATACATTTTCAAACCTTCCCAATTCTTAAATATAACATTAAATTACAAAAAAAAATTTAATATTGTATCCAAAAACGTGTGTATAATTTTTTATTTATTTAATTAATTGTATTTTAATTTTTAGAAACTGGAGGCTTATTTATGCTTGCTATTAGACTTATGCAATTGTTCAGTGATAACACCAATGATTTCAACAAACTTACTGGAATATTAGGATTGTATTTCCAGATTCGAGATGATTATTGTAACTTATGTTTGCAAGAGGTAAAAAAATGACTTTAGTTATAAAATGTTTCTATTATTTCCAGTTTATTTTTATTTTATATTGATTTCTTAATCTCATACATATTAAAAATATGTGTAATGCATTAGTCTATTTTGTATTTATCTAAACTTAAAATGTATTTTGATTATATTTAAAAAAAATAATGATAATTAATTGAATATTATTATATTGATCTGTGAAAGCCTTAACAAATTCATAATGATATTTTATTATTCAACATTTATGACATTAGTAAAGTAAAATATAGTTTATAATTGATTTTTTACATTATTACCAATTTTAACCAGTAAAATATTTGACTTAATCCATTTAACATTAAAATGTATTAGAAGTCTAAAGTTTAAAGTTCACATAAATAAAAACAATAAACTAAAAATATATTTTCTTAAATAAAAATGGTTTTTAATTTAGAAATGGATGGCATTGTGGCACAATTTATAAAAAGATAATTTTTATATTACTGATTTTTGGGATTATCTGAGCATACACCTCATTGTTTAAATAATTTTTACATTATTTATAGCTGTAATTTGTTTGATTTCAGTATTCTGAAAATAAGAGTTATTGTGAAGATTTAACAGAAGGAAAATTTAGTTTTCCTATCATACATGCAATTCATACTCATCCTGAAGATAAACAAGTGATTCGTATCCTTTTTTTCAATATAATAATTTGTTTGAACATTTTATTTCATAATAATAGCGGTTTTTTTAAATATATAAACATGATGTATAAAATTTATAAAAGTAGTATTATACTTAACTCCAATATTAATAGATATTCTTAGACAGCGTACAAGGAATGTTGACGTGAAAAAATACTGTGTAAAGTTGTTGGATAATTTTGGTTCATTTGAACATACAAGGAAAGTTTTGACCCAGTTGGATGCTGATGCTCGTTCAGAAGTGGAAAATCTCGGTGGTAATCCACTGATGATTAAGATATTAGATGGGCTTAGAACGTGGTCATATAATTTTGATGAAAATACTAACAACTAATTATATTTTTCAAATTTAATACTTAAATTCCCATAATTACTATGACCAACTGTTCTCAATTTGTTTAGAATAATTTTTTATAGTTGTATAGGTGGTAATTCATTATGTCATAGTGTTATAGAACTTAACTGAACTCATTGATCATTGTTTAGAATTTTCTAAATAATTTTTGGGTTTATTATTGTTTTTTTTGTCCTTTCAATTGCGTCAATTAAAAAAAATTGAGAAATCTTGCAGTCCTTTGATCATTATTCTTGTAAACCTTATTTTATCATTGCATGGCAATCAATAGCTGTAACATCAAATATAATATATGCCAATCCTAATTTAACCAATTTAAAATTTAAGTACTTAAATATAAAATATTGTCAATGTTTTTGTATTGAAACATTTTAGAATATTATAATAATTTAGTCTTCCAGTTTATTAAGAAAACGTGAACATTGTATTTTGTACTTTAATATTATTATGTAATATTTATCATTATTATTATTACTTTTTTCACTTTTTTAAACTTTCATAAATCCTCTTTTTTTATGTTTTGCTTAATCATATTTAAGGCTAAAATGCTAAAAGCTACTATTTTCTAATGACTGCTGATTAGTATCTAAGACTTATCAATTGTTTGTTAATTTATACTGTACTTATAAAAATATTCATGGAAAAAATAAATGTGTACACATTAGTGAGATATTAATTTATAAATAACATTATATTATGTGTTAATTATGTTTTATACGTAAAGAAATTAGTTACAGAACATTTATTGTGAATAAATTTCTTTTTACCAGAATATTAGCTTATTAATGTATTGTTTCTAATTCAGGAAAAATAAAATATTAAGGTGTTTTCCAACTAGATTTAACTTCAATACATTAAAAACCATATTGTTTTATGTTATCTGAAGTTTCTAACCCCTATGGGCAGGATTAAGTTATCTATTTATAAGGATAATAATCTTATAAATACTGTATAAAATTACCAATTCCATAGCCCATGATTATATACACTTTTTATTATAATACTATAAAGCTAAGAACAAAGATCATCTTTATACATTTATATGGGTTCGATTGTGTCAAAATATTACTTAATGATTTTATAAATTTTATCTTATCTAGAACTATAGGTATATTATAAATATGAAATAGATAAAATATTACAAATTAGTAAATCGAAAGAACTGTTGTTTCATTTTTTATTTAGATTTAATCCATGGTAAATACTTAAAATAGTTTTCAATTATACCTACATTTTATTTTATTTTAAAATGTATTTTATGATTTTTGATTTTCGTAGTTCTGTAATGTATCATCCACAAACAGTTAATTTTAAAATGGCTGAAAATGTTCAGCACAACCATTGATTTTAAAATGTTAAAATATTGTTTTCCTCGACCAATTTAAATTTAATCTGCCATTATTGGAAAATAATTTCCATCCATGCCACTGGTTTCTGTTATTGTTGAACCGCGTGCTACAATATTAGCGTATTGTCGCGGCCCGTTTTAGAAAAGTAAAAAAATATCAGAACTAGCCCAACACTGAAATAACACGCCACTGCGTAGCGAGTCTCACAATCGCCACTTCCACTTTGGTTCACGCATCGAGTGCCAACCCGGCAGGCGAACGAAAATCGCTCTGAATGACTGGTTTTGCTCAGAAATAGAAAACGGGTACGGGAATCACTGCGCGTGTATATTTTTAACCGTGTGCCTGTCACGACTTGCTCGCAGTGGCGATATTGTATTATTATACACGCGGGTAAAAAAAAACGTCCAATCTAGTGCACGCGCTTGTGTGTTCATGTGTATGTGGGCGGGTGTATGTATATAAATACAATACACGTATAACATAGTTATGTTATGATTGTGCGATGTTTACGTCGCAGAAAAATTAAACACGATATTATCATGCGAGGTAAACCCGTTCTTTTATAACGTATATATTATACCCAGTGGCGTATATAGACTTACTTATAGGGGGGAGGGGGCGAGAATCAAATTTTTTTTCATTAATTCAGGCTCAACATTTACAAGCAACATTTTTGGTAATATTTAAATCAGGTGAATCCTTAATATTTGCGGTTTTATTTATTTTTTAGTCTAATGCCGGATCCACTTAGAATCGACTTTTTTGTAGTTAATTTTTAACACCTATGTTTTGGAAGTTACGTTTGTGTTTTATTTGATTTTTCACTAAGTACTTATCGATCCGACAAAAGCCCAATTTAATATTCATAGCCACGCGTAATTTGATTTCTTTATATAATGATCCACATTAAAAAAAATTGAAATGTGTATCTCACATAATCAATTCCTTAAATACGGAGGGGGTGATCGCCCCTTCACCCCTCTAAAATACGCCCATGATTATACCTATGTATATATATATGTATTTGGGACGTACACTAGCTCAGTGTGCATTAAAATAGATAATTACTGCACCATTACATGATTAAGTTTGAAAAATAAAGAAAGTGCTTTTTTAGTTCTTATTTATATTAAGCAGATAATAATAATAAAAAAATATATAACATAAAATTATAATTAGAAATATAATGTCAATAAAACACATTTTTATTTTGTCCAGACTATTAATTGTAGTCGTTTAAGTGAGATTTTTGAAAAACTTAAAATTCCATAAGTTCTTTTTTGTTGATATGTGCTTTACCTGTTTCATCAACACGTTCCTCCGTTGATCCTAAGTACGATTCTAAACAATTCAATGTTGAAAATGTTGTCTCTGGTGTGGCTGAACAAATAACCTAACAATGGTTTGTCTGTTGGTAACATCAGTTCAGTTTTAATTATAGATATATATGGACTAAGGTCAGGCGCGTACACAAAAAAATATTTTAGGGTTGGTTTTAGGTTGTATATTTTCATATTAACATAATCTATAAACCACTTTTACTCTATAAAAATATATTTAATACATGATTACAATTTTAGGCACAATCATCTACATAAATATAATCGTGGTTTTCAGATGCTATCCTAAATCGTGGGTAAATATAAAAACAAATAATAATAAATACAGGGGGACTTTAGTCCATTTAGCTTCGCTCGAGTTTTGACTTAATGAGCCATTTCTTAAGATATTTTTCAAGGAAATAAAAAAATAAGAAAAGTTCACAAATTTATTGGTAGTACACATAAGCTTTTATAGCGTAATTATAACTATATAATTACTTCATGAGAATTTTGTAATATCATAGTAAAACAATTGCGTGATACAGCTGACCTTGATTTTTCAATGTAAGTATCCATTTCTTATCTCCTTGCCATCAAAAGACTTCATTTGAAAGGCAGGATTGGACTTCTGTAAATTATCGAGAAAAACTTTAGAATGATTATGAGTGCCATTAATTAAACTTTTTAATGGTTCTAGCGGGTCAGCGATTCCGTCCAACAGAAATTTTCCTCCACCACAGCAAAAACCGGGTACTTCAAGAAGCCATTTTTTCGCTTGGCAATACTGACAAATCGTACTCGTATCGCCAATTGAAACATGGGAATCATTTGTATAGTTGATCGAAGCGTCGAAACTGCTTGATTGCGGACAGTTCTTTACGCCGCCAAGGTGTGCGTGGTAAATTAATAATTGTTTCGTTTTCTCTATGACATCACAAACTTTTCGCGTTGAGCGGCTAATATTTTCCTTTGGATATTTTATCATTTTGTTTTTGATTAATATAAACAAAAATAATAATTTAAATATATGTGTCATAGGTGACCTGTGTTTTCAAATGAATGCGATCTCACGTGCGAGCGATAACGGGTCATGTTTGCAAAGTTAATATGTTAGATATAGAAAAAATAAAAAGCTAAAACGAAAAATTTTCTACAAAAGAAAAAAAAAGCCTGTGTTGTAAACGGTCGCGTAGTTTCTAAGATGAACCGCGGTTTCAACGCGTTTCAAAGAAAGTAGTTTCACGTTTATATAGTTAGATATACAGATACCACCTGAAATACCAGAAAATGTACTTTGTACTTGTAACTGTAGCATTGTACTTGCAACATCAAATAGTCCTATCTACTGACTATAACCGCAGTAACTCAGTTTATTCTGTGCCATTACAACAGTTATGTAAGATATCATAATATACGTACAATGAATTTCAATGTTGCTACTGATTTAGGTTTTTGATATATTATATAACGTATAAATATAGTAATACAAGTGCAGTAGGTACGGTCAACACTATAGTATTATCAATAATTATTGATTTTTTAGTGTGAAGGTCGGAAAAAGACGTGTCACTAGTTAAATTAATTGAACACCTGTGCAATGGTATTGCAATAGAATAGACAAGATTTAATCCAATTGAAAAATAATTAATATTGTAAGTTTCAACCGCTTCATTCTTTATTAAAATCAAAATGTTTGACTAAAATACACATAATATGCATAAGCGCCTACAGTGACCTATTTGTGGCTCCAGTATTCTAATTTGGGTTCATTGACAAAAATAAAGGGGTTTAGAACTAGGAGCGTATTTAGATTTACTTCTAGGAGGGCGACTCAAAATTTTTTTTTTAATTCAGGCTTAAAATATACAAGTCAAATGTTGGAAATATTTAAATCGGGTAAATCTTTAATATTTGTGGTTTTTTTTTTTTTAATCTAATGTTGGATCCACTTAGAATCGACTTTTGTGTAGTTCTTTTTTAACACCTGTTTGTGTTTTGAAAGTTAGACTTGTGTTTTATTTGATTTTTCACTAAGTATGGACCCAATAAAAAGCCCATTTCAGTAATCTCAGTCACACGTAATTTGATTTCGTTATAAAATTATCCACATTAAAAAAATTTGTGATTTGTATCTCACATACTCGTATAATAGATTCCTTAAATACGGATTAAGGGGGGGGGGAAGATTGCTCCCTTCGTCGTCCCTAAAATACGCTTCTGTTTAGAACTTCAAATGACTGCCAAGTCGTTCAAAATTAAATTAAAGTTAGTTATAAGAAATATTATATATTGACTTTTTTTTATCAATTTAATAGAAAAGGAGAGGGTTAAGTACCTCAACAAATTCGGGCTATTTGTGCCTATGTTTGGTGTGGCAGATACTAAACTAGGGTGGTCAGATAAAATTGAAAGAAATCCGGGACAATAAATTCTAACTTGACCTAATCGTCCTATTTAATCATAATTACTTAATATTTTTATCTTAATTTTTTTTACTTGTGGGTTTCATTATGAAATATTAAACGTTAAATATTAAAATTATAGAAATAGAAAATATATTTTTATTTTCAACAAAAACTTATTTTAAAATTTTAAATACAGTTTACATATTTTTGTACTTCATAGTGACAGTGACAGGTAAAATTGTTAAAGCTATCATTGTGTATTTTCGTGTGTTGTGGACGTTCTTCGGAAACGAGTGATTTTTATAATTTCGTCGTAAAATTCCATGCAACTTAAACCATGTGTTTTTATAACCAAATAACTTTCTGCAGTTACCACATTTGATTACGAATGTCGGTCCAAGTGAAAGTCATCAATGAAAACACACGTTCTATTGATACATTCGAATCCGGAAAAAATAATAATAATAATTTAAAAAATAAATTGAATTCCGGGACATTATTATATTTTGATAGCTAAACCCGGTAACAACGCTCTGTCCCGTAAAAAATTTTCGGGACACCGGTACATGAGTTCCTAAAACGGTAACGTCCCGGATTTCCGGGACGAATGGGTAGTTAGTTTAGTTTAGTAACTAAACTTTCTCAAATGCGCACTGAAAATGACCCATCCGATCTCTCTTCTTATCAGTCCCTTATGGTAAACTTCGAACAATTCCCTTCAGAACGACCTCAATGTTGATAATATAAATCTACTTATGAGAAAAAAAAAACTTGATAAAACTTCTATCGAAAACAATCCATTCCCCTTAAGCCCTGTAACTTCTGGTCTTTCTGCAGCAAATCTTCCAGACGCGTCGATTAAATCGATTAAAAAAAGAATACATTTAAAAAAACTCCTGTCAAAAGGATTCCATCACTTGACGGCCTTCTCCCTCCGGTGCTATTTATCACGTTACGTGTAACTGTCATTGTATTATGTTTTCTTACTGCGCTCGTAGGTGGTAATAAATCTAAAAATATCTTACGTACAAAGAAGTTACTGGTGTTTCGGGCGTTTTAGACTTTTCGAACAGCCGCTCGCACATATCATTCGGTATCCTACGAAGAGAACGTGTCAGGCTTTCAAAAATATTCATCCCTCCGAATCCCGCGTGACACGAGAGACGGTTTACGCCACAGTTGACCTTCCACACGAATCGTGCTTTCGTCGGGCAGACTACAACGATGCTCTGCTGACATCCTGTTAAACCTTTTTCCGAACATCACACGCCCGGCTCGGTTAGCAGCGGTAAAGCCCAACAATTGATTTCGGAACGCTAAGTGCCGCCACAGCCAAAAATCGCTATTTCGTTCGACCTCCGATACGGATAATGCGTACCCGCACACAAACATGCGTAACGGTTGCGCCACGCGGACGCGCGTACGTGTACACACACGTGCATAACACTCGAGGGCGGAAGACGGGGATTCATCCCCGGGCGTAAAATTTTAGAGGGTGTAATTTTTGTAATCGTCAACAATCAATGTGATATTTTTAACTTTTACTTACTGTTATTGGGTTAAAATCCGATTTGTACGATTATTAGAAAACAATTCTCGAGAAGAGTATTTGATTATTGGTCTATGATAGGGCGTAATTTTAACATTTTCCCCGTCCGTAAAAATTTCTAATTCCACCTCCGATAACGCTCACTCATTTCACAAGTGTACATGTGTATGTATGGAAATATATACACGCGAAATACGCGCACAGATTTAATAGTTCGGTTCGGTACGGGTCGGCGGCGTGGAGATGGGGCGACGGTCCATAAATATTCATTTAGAACTACACGCGTACAACGCTTAACTGCTGCATTGTTACTGCGCACACCTCGTGTACGTTTCGCGTGTATTCAATTCGGTTTTTACACCCTCGCGCGATTCACCCCCTCGTCGGCCAAAGTCCACAGGGACCACGCGCGCACAGATATAATACACGTAATGTCATCGTCCTGTGCCGTGTTTTATATTTATACGTTGTTGTACTTTTAACCGTGCAACTGTACAACAGGTACACAAATTACAATCGTACGAATAATTTTTAATCACTTTCAGGCCGAACACGGGGGACGGGGGAAATTACTAGACCGTTTTTTCGATTTTATTGTTATTTATTTTTCGTCTGTTTATTTCTACGCGCCCTACCCACGAGCGCCTTTTTTCGATTTGTTTACACGACCAATAATCGTTTGCGCCTCCCCGACGAAAGCCGATCATCAAAAGCGTTTTCATTACGCGCACATAGATGTAAGAACGAAAACGATGAGTCGTATTGGAACTCTACGACAAGACGTATGGGGATTCATTTTCAAAACGTTTCACGTTCGAACGTTTTATGCTACTGAAATCGTAATGCCCGAACCGAAAAACTAGACGCGAATTTTGAAACAAACTCTTGCCGACGTAAATGTTGATCATCTGGTAAGGTATTCCCGTAAACCGTACACTGTATTGCAATTGATGGGGTATTAATAACAGTAGTTATTTATAGTTGCGTCTCTATTTTAAAAACTATATGAAAAACAGAAAACACATTTTAATATGTTATATCGAACAAAATTATTGTCACGAAACTCTAACGCAATAATTTCTGTGTATTTCTGTGTGTCAGCCATCTGAAGAGCTAAACATAAATTTGAACGATACTGCACACATAAACATATTTAACAGACAATGCGGATATTGGTGTATTGATATTCTAGTACGTAGTTCAAAGTGCAAACGCTTTTTTCGATAAATTTTTATATCAAAATAAATAAAAATACTTGTTTGTTTGTCGTACACAGTGTTCAAAAGTTTGTTAGCAGCGGGAAAAAGTTTCCAAACTTTTCGAACACATTGTATTCATGTTATGACATAAGTTATAGTCGACTATTAAACAAGAATAAAAGCCGGTTTGTACAATATACTTTGTATTTACAACTCCAACAAAAATTGTAAATAAATAAACCGTAATATAATTAAATCGTCTGTTTTTCCTCGAACGATTCCATTCACGATTTTGTTGGATATTTTTATAACCTTACGATGCGCTTACGTTTAAACTCGATCAACAATAGTTATTAATATAAAATTCGTATTCGCGTTCAATTTTATAATGCGATTGTCGGATGAAGGTCCGACATATTTCCGCGGACTATCCAATCCTCAACGTCCATGATTTTATTTCGCTTAAGTTTCCTTACTGCGTGTCTTACTGGTGGCTTGGAGAATACGAACTCAAAGTCGTAGCTGTAACTGCAGCACTCACGCAGATTTGTCCTTGTGGTATCGTGTGTTCGCATCGTAATGTTTTCGATTTAATTAGATTTTTCGAACACGCCACGAGAGCGAGAGAGAGAGAGAGGGAGCGTTCAAACACTCCGCGCCCATAACTACTATCCCGTCGCCGGCCCTGTTCACGATGTCCACGATCACACAGACATTAAAATGTCCCGGAATTGTGCGGCTACGGGGTGAATAATATTTTGACGCGTGTTCCAATTCGTAATGCCAATATTTTATCACGTGCGCCGAGTCGAGCGGCCGAGCGTAGGTATGAGCATCGTCACGGTATTCGAAAGAGGAGGCGTTGGTCCCCCACCCCGTCATCCCCGTAAAATTTCGTTTTCGCTTAGTGATCGTCGCATCTGTATTCGAGAAAACGGGTCAATCTGAGTGGGACGGGACAACTCCCGAGGTCCGTCGTGTACAAGGGACACAGTGTAAAGATGACCGTGGGCCGCGTATTATTTTTAGACGTGTGTCATATTCTATAAACGTATCGGTATAACACATATCGTTTGGATCTATTTCCGAGAGAGAAAAAAAAAACACTCCAGTCGCCACTGCACGCGCGAGTACGTATAAAAGGATCGCGACCCAGAGCAGTTTTCAATTTTCAGCCACAACCCGCAAACGACGCACAGTCTTTCCGCGTCCGTTAACTTTTCCGCCATTCTCGTTTTGTTTGCGTAGCGTGTATTCCCGTGGTAAAACATGTCTCTCGAACGTGCGGTTCGCGCCAAAGTAAGTCACCGTTTTCCGCCATCGGTTTTTATTTTTTGTATTTCGTTGCCACTGTACAGTTGTTGTTATCGTTATTATTATTACTCGAAATCGTTGTTCGTAATTTATTTCTCTGACGTTGTAATCCTCGTGTTTTCCAAAATAACGACATTTTTAAACGATTTTTTTTTCTTTAATAAGTTTTCGAAAAAGAACATCTGTAAATCCGTTGAATCAAGTAATCAACGCGATACGATAGTAACATAGGATTTCTATGTTGAGTGATTCACAAAGTTCTAACGGAAATCAGACATTTTACTATTGAATAAAATATAACACTGCTCGTAAGCGAAACGGTCAAAAATTAGTTCGTAAATTCATAAGACAAAACATCTGCGATGCACATATATGTGACATAAAATCCGTAGAAGTTTAGGAATGATTTTAAAATAAAAACTATCATCTTTATCGAAATAAAAGTCGCGATAACACAGTGCAATAGTAACATTTGTAAAAACCGTACATAATTAATTCATTATAATGTCGTGTAACGTACATTTATGTTCAATTTTTATTTAATCGTGGCATAGCTTGCTTCCAAACGAGACCCTCAACAAGAGAAAGAAGCCCAAGAATGGATGGAATCTATTCTAGGCAGGAAATTCCCAAAGAACTATCCAATGGAGGAATACCTCAAGGACGGTCAAGTATTATGTGAACTCATGAACAAAATCAGCCCTGGAAGTATACCCAAATACAACACTACCGGCGGACAATTCAAAATGATGGAAAACATTAACTTGTAAGTTATCGCTCTTGGTTCGAAGTTCCGATTCGATATCGTTGTTGCGTTCCTAGACCCTTTTATAAGAGGGTGGAGGGTGAGAATTTCATTCATGTTCTCGTATTTATATATTTTCTTAGCGTGATAATAAATAATAAAACAAAAATCTGAAAAAAAGGCCACGGCGGGAGGGGGCGATTGCTCCGTTCGTTTTCCTCCTCCCGTAAACGTTCCTATTGTACGTTATACGCACGCGCGTACACACATCGTATATAGCTGCGTTACAATTAACGGAATATCGTACACGTACAGACCATATGCACTGGCGGAGAAGAGAACGCGGATGGGATTACACGGAAACTTTCGCAACGTTATTTAACACAAAAACTACGTAGCGCCTTGAAAACGACGGTGACCATCAATAACGATTAAACGGCACTTTTCGCTGTAAATCCCGGTCGTACCGACGCAATTAAGAGAATGTGCGTGTCCGAGGAACGGTTGGGTCGTTAAACGCGGAGTTGCGGGAGGTCAGACATTTGTTTTCCGTTTTCTTTTTTGACCGTACCGATCACGCAAAAACGGGTCAAGCACGTGAACAGACGGATTGGTCAACACTAATACAACGTAGCACAGGACTACGATACACGACAATATTAACAATAATAATTATAATTACTTATCATTGATATTTTTATGGTTTTCGTTTTTCGATTGCTTCGATTTTCGACTTAGCCGATGATCGGGGAAAAAATGTTTGTGGCTCAGTACATCGAAATGTACACGTACATGAAAAAATATAATAACGCATAATCGCGAAAATATCGGCGTGAGCGTTGATTTTGCTGGGCATCTTTAACGCCCTTTAGATTCGTACCCATGGTCACCGCGGGGACCGTCTTAAATCGCAACGTTTCTATTTTCCGTGGCTCATGAAATGCAACGAAACATACGCTGCAGATCATCACGGGTTCGCGTCGTAACAACCGAAATGATTATTTTGTTACGTTTTCTTCTATTTTTTTTTTCTGCTCTCGTCACCTGCTGCGGTAACTTTTCACGCCTCTTAAAGCACGTGCGCGTTCGGCGTAAGCGTATAGTTTTGGAAGAATCATTTGCGCGCGCGTCGTGTCTCGTGACGCTAAGTAAATTTTCACGTTCCAAGTGTTCTCGCGGGCCGTGGCGGCGCACAATAACTTTAGCGCCGCGATGGCATGTACATAAACTTTTAAGCGCGCCCGAGAAACGTTACGCGAAAGTTTTTCCGCTCGTAAATCATAATAAGACGTTCGTGTACAGCGCATTATACACCTACACGGAGACCCGACGGCGTGGCGAATAAAGAGCGAGAGAGAGAGAGAAAGAGAGGGAGCACAAGTTTTTCGCGATGTATAGGTACAGGCGAAGGAAAGTTTGGCGTACACGGACTAGCGGAAGCGCGAACGCCCGTGCGTATAACGCTATACCGTTGCGCGATCAGTCATATCGATCGTCGTGTCGGCGACGTATGATCGCTGTGTAATGGACGCAGATGAACTGTGTCGCGAGGGCTGCGAAAACGCAAGGCGAGCGTCCGTTTTACGCGAATTTTGAGCATTTTGAAATTTGAGCAAATTTTATTCATTTGATTTCTACACACCGTCATAATCATACGTGTACGATTCCGATTTCGTGATCCTCTCTTTTGAACCGGATCTGGGTAAAAGGTTATAAGATTATAAGCCATACGGATACATAGAAAAACAAAAACAAGTCAATATTTTCACACTTAAACTGGTCACTTTTTTAATATTATTGTCGGCCAGCTAGCTAAATTTCATCAATTTCGGAATATTCCCCGGGAGTCATATACGAATCATATTTAAAGTAATTGTACGTACAACATAATTATAATGGCAGGGCGAACGTTAAAGAAATAACTATTACGGTGGCTTATTGTTGTGGACTAGCGACTCGTGTAAGTCGTAACATTAAGGCTTGTGAGTACGGTGACTCGGTCGGTTACCGAAATGGAATAAGTCGCCGTGGTTGTACCGTTTTGATTACGGGATGATAGAAACATGCAGTTTTTCGGCGCGCAATTGTGTACGGGAACAAGACGGCCCCGAGGCGATGCGCCTTTCGAAACGCATCGCTGCACATCGTGCCAAATAATATTATGTATATTCGTAGTGTATATTTATATACTTTTTTAATATACGCGTTCCTGCACGGTCTTACAGATTCCAGAAGGCCATTAAAGCGTACGGAGTAGCGGACTTGGACGTTTTCCAGACCGTCGACTTGTACGAGTGCAAAGACTTCGCGCAAGTGATCACAACGTTGTTCTCTCTGGGCCGTGAAGTGAGAACGATCAAATAATAATATAATATTAATCCTTGCTGACTAACATCCTGTTATAATATCCCATTGCTAACGTGTTCCGTTGTTGTACGCAGACTTACAGACACCCGGAATGGAACGGTCCTTATCTGGGACCGAAACCGTCCGAGGAGGCTAAGCGTGATTTCTCCGAGGAAACGTTGAAGGCCGGTCAGACCATTATCGGACTCCAGGCCGGACAGAACAAGGGCGCTTCGCAGGCAGGCCAAAACATTGGCGCCAGCAGGAAGATCATCATCGGCAAATAATCCCGTGAAACGTATATACCTTTATCATTATATTATATCGTAATAAATAATACGTGTCCCGTGACGTCAAAGTCCCGTGTCGTCGTTGTGTATAGACGGTTTTAAAATGCGAGAGAATGTTGTCTTATTGTAATATTCGTTATTATTGTTTCCACCCGACTATATTATTATTATAATTAAATCCAGCTGGTTTTTTTATTTTAATTCGTTAAAATTTTTTCCACCTATGTATGTATGTAATAGTATTATAAATATTTATTTAAATCAAAAAAAAATATATATATAAACAAAATAAAACACTTGAACACAAAATGCAAGTGTTTTTCTTACGAATTTAGGTAATAATAGTGCGATTTTGTATAATATACGTATATACTTACCATACAGCAAACAATATGCTGTATAAGTACAATACTTAATAATAAGTATAATACTTATTCGATAAAAAGCGTAACACGTTTACATAAACAGTTTCTCTTTTCCACCAAATTATATTTTAACTGATAATCTATTTCCACAGAATCAATTTCTATATCACTTGAAAGCACATGAATTGTTTTTTATAAATATGAAAAATATTTACGGATATATCTACGGACTGAAATACTCGTAGAGTTGTATAATATCCAGTTAATGGATTGTCTTTGATTTATCTCATTTAATTGACATAAAAGTACATATAAGTATATAAGAAAACTTGTTTTTTAGTAATATGTTTAGTTTATGATTTTTAAATCGTATACAGATATATTATACTATATATATATATATATGATAATGCTTCACCTTTTCGATACAAGTGGGAAGTTATTAAATGATTGCTATCGTATTTCATTTTAATGTTAAAACAAGTGAACGGAATTAAATTCATCACAGAGTTCAATAAAGACCATATCAATACCTAACAGATATAATATTTTGCTAAACATGTTTAAGTAGTGAGTTTTGTAATAGAAATTGTTTTGGTGTAAATGGGTATCAGTTAAAATATCATATGGTGGAAACGTGTCTCATCCTCGATAAATGCATATTATTTGTGCGACTGTTGTCGTCCGTGGTTAACGGTTGCATGCGTACGGTAACATGACGCGGTGACAGGTGAGTTTGAAAAAAAAATGTCCACTTAAATTTAGAAATGTGAGAAGTAATGCGATGAAATGTTGACGACAGGGCTCAGATGACTACTATATTGGCATTCAAATAGTACTCGTCAAGTCTCAAATACGATTTTAATACGACTGTTAATCGTAGGCGAATATAATATCGCTCGTCATCGGTACTATATGTTTTATATCAAACTGATTCGATACCGCGGTTGTTAATAATGGCCAAGCCTCAAACGCAGTTTCGGATGAAATATTATTTTCTAAAATATTACGTATTCCAGAAATTCGAAATAACTTAACTCCACACAACGTTCGGTAAAGTATAGTAAGTAAAATTAATATAAACTCGACTATATTTTTGTTTCCCAATTATTTTATCTCTGGTATGTCTGTTCAAACAATATATAATTGTATATAATTATGACATTTTAATATTAAAATTAATTAGTTTTGTTAACCTTGCTCGTCAGTAATTAACCCATATATTTTTACAACTTACACAAAAAGTCTAACCTTTTTGAAGTATAATTTAGTGGGTACCCTACTATCAGTGGCGTACGCAGAGGGAGTATCAGGAAGATATACCCCTGCCCCCCTCATAAATAGTTTAAAATATTTTTTCAAATTATAAATTATTCTACCGATGACCTTAAACATTTTTTTTTTAAATTGTTATATTCCTTCCATTTGTGGGCATATTAGTTCAACAGTTAAAAGAATAATTTTTGAACCATACAAATATTATATCTGGCTTTTGTTTTCTAATTTCTAAAGAAACTTATGATAACCAAGTTATCAAAGATTTAAATTAATTTTATTCACATGATTTTGATCAAAAAGTTTTTAAAGTAAAAATAAGCTTTGGTATACACATTTGCAAAAATTAAGTGTACCTACATAGTCTTCTAGAATCAAGATATTATTGATAAGTACAATAAAGATCTCTATAAAATGCATTGAAAAGGCTTCATATTTTTGCAACACTTCCTGTTACATTGTGTGAACCAGAAATATGTTCTTGCACAGTAAAAAGAATTAAGACTGATTATTGAAATTTTGTTCGCCATTTAAGGCTTGATGGCGTAATAGTTCTAAATATTCATCGTGAAGTCGATGTTAAAGTTGAAGTTGAGAAGGTTACTAAAACATTGGCATAACAAAACTGTCGTACTGACTTTATTTTATAATATATATATATATATATATATATATATTTATATATATTTATTCTATGGTTATATATATATACCTTAATGTTTTCTTTTAGTATATAATATTTATTTTATTTGTACCTATACATTATATTATTATAACATAGTGGGAAGAGGAGATTTTTTTTAGTGATAAGGTCATAGATATATGTATGTTATAATACCCTTGAAAACCTGCGTACGTTACTGTCTACTATTAGTGTAATAAAGCTTATGCATATTTCTAGATCGAGTTAAAAAAAAGTTGTTGGCATAAGAAATAAATTGTTGCCACTATGAAAAAACTGATATTACTCCCCTGACCAGATATAATGACCTATAGTACCTACTACCCACCTATTTTTTATATAGGTACTACATTGGTCAAATTTTCGGATTGTTGCAATTATAATTTTTTAATTTTTTTTTTTAATTTTCACAACTATCGAGGGAAACCGTGCATGCGTGCATACCATATGGGTGTGGTAATAATTTATTATTATATATTCAAAATTAATGAAGACTAAAAAAAAAAAACAACATCCGAACAATTTGTTAATCGGGCAATATTTTCCTGTTCTCCAGCCCGTGAATAAATGTTAATTACAAAGTACGCGTGTACACATTTACCATGCAGCGAACACATCCGCTGGGGCCAGGGGTCGCAGGCGGTGGCCCGAGGACGAGCAAATTAAAAATTTTGATTTATAAAACGGCGCATACGCGCACTCCTCCATCGGTTGCGTACCAATGGCGTTAATCTCCAAGGGATCGCTTAGTCGATAGGTTCGATACACACTAATAAATTACCATGTATGTATACAATGCGCGATTTTCTTTAAACCATCACTGAAAGATAATAATTTATATGCAACACATAAGTATTGTGTGTTTATTTACCCGGCGATGTTCATAAAGTCGTGCTTGGGAATTTTCTTTAAATAACTTGTTCGCATCGCATTTTTTAATTATGATTTAAGAAAAATCGCTTACTTGTAATGAGTCAATATTCTCCCTAGCTATTTAACCTTATCCTTATCTTTTCTAGGTATGACGTGATTCTCGTAAAATCAATCACTCTGTATAGTATACGTATGCTTTGTGTGATGTTCAGACGTTATTAAAAAATACTTCGAGAACGGTTTTTTTTTTTCATACATTTTTCCAATATTTATTATTTATATAACTAGATAGTAGTTATTATCGTTGCATGGAAACAATTTGTGTTGATGAAGCGGAAAAACGATTTTTCGTTTATTAACATAAAATCCGCTTGTATACAAATACATATATATTTATGATTATTAGATTATTATGCCAAACATTATACTTCAAACCGAACGCGCGTAGTGTGTACTTATTAGATTTTTGACGGGATCGAATTACTTACACGTTTATAGATTTTATGATCTGCGGCGCGGGCCACATGCCAAAACGCTATTCCTTATATCCAATATTTCGACGACAGACGTCTTGGTTCGGTTTTTAATACAAATATGTATTTTTAACATGCGGGCACATGGCCATTGGTCTTATAAGATGAACATAAAACTTTCCTACAACCTAATCTTTTGTCCTGCAGCTTTGAGCGAGGGTTAATGTGCCCTTAATTTACTTAAATAAACACATACTTCATAAACACGTCATCATCCGTTACCGAATTTTCACGTATCGATTTAACGTGTTTCGTATTTTAAAGAATAACATGTTGTGTATTGAGAATATTATATTTTATGTAACACCGTTAGTTACGTAACGACCGAAAAAATGTAATCTGTTTGGTGAACAACTAAGTAACCGAGATCCGATGACCTTTTAGCTTTTGATTTTTAAACGTCTGGTATACGAGTAGATTATCAAATCATGGGAACTCGTCACACACCACATATGAAACTCTTCAAGGTTTGAATGAAATCAGGCTTACGAATAATGTTAATAGGTTTTTGATTCAATTATTATTGATAGAAAGTTAATATACAAAGTTTGATAGAAAAACCCAACGGGTAAACGAAATACAATTATTTAATATTACATTTTTCATGTTTAAAAATATCGTAAATAAACACAATTGTAGAGCAATAATAAATTGTCGATTACAATTTTTTAAACAGAAATATTTTAAGCGCGATCAAGCGTGTGCGGCAACATGTAATAATATTTACATTTCCAGCCGCATTTCAAACTGTTGTAAACAAAATATATTTTTACGTTATGCATGTTTTCCGACGTCAATAATACATTTCCGAAGAAATACATGTCTCCAGGATAAATTTACGATATAAAATATGCATCATAAACGAGCGCTTTAGTATTTTGTTCTCAAATAAAGAATTTCTAGTTTTGAAATGATATTCGTTTTCGATCTTTTCTCCGCACGGCTTTTTTTTTCTATATACTTTTCAACAGTTTCGAATACTTATTATTATATTTTAACCTATAAATATTATATTAACAGTATTTTAGTTGGGTTATCTATTTGTTATTTCCTGTAATGTTGCACATCATCTGTAGTGGTATAAATAAATATTATGAATATCCCTAGTGTCGGCGCGTCAAGTGCCTTACAATAATGTAGGGCTGGCTTGTTCGCCTTTTTGCTGGTTATAATAATAAATAAATTGGATTAGATAAAATAAATAAATACACTTATTAATATACTCTTTGTAGTGGACTGTATAATCTGATAAATATGTTATGTTGCCTGGTTGGCACAATGCAATAAATATAAATATAAATAATGAAAAATAATAATATAAATATAACTATTATTTTTCCAATAGTTAATAATAATTTGCCAACGACGGCTAGGCCCGTCGGCCTTTACACAATGACGAATATAACACAAATATGGTCGACCAATACTCACATGTGACTATGTTGAATGGCTGATTTCGTCCACGCGACCGCA